CCAAGCCCTGAGGAACAGATCCTCATATGACCTTAAATGTGAAAATAAAATGATTTACTTGAGCCAACTGTATTGTTTTAAACAACCAAGAGGAAAGTATAAACAAAGAATAAAGTCATCAGTACATTCCTTTTAGAGTTCAATGGATTACTGTTCCCAGATATTAGGCCTAAATCTATATAAAAAGTTATTTAGACAATTGTTTCTCACAGATCATTTTACTCCTAACTGGAAAGTGCTGCTCAGATGTAAGACTTCAAATCTTGATCTCCAATACTGTGGTGCCCACCTGGAGCTAAGAGCGACAATCAGATATTGTTCTATAATGATGGATAAATTTGTTTTCTCCCCCTATCTAGAAGCCTTTGAGAGGCAACAGACACTGATTCTAACCACTCCAACAGATATCAAAATACCTGAAAACAAATCATGAATCCATCATTATAGAGTCCAGCCTTGGAACCCAAAAGAGAAATGAGGAGGAACCCAATGAGGGATCCTTTGGAAGCCCTTGTCAAGAAATTCTAATGAACTTTCATATGAACATTTGAAAATTGCCCCGTTCTGACTTTTTTCTAGTTCCCTGTCTAGAACTTGTAATGCTAATTACTCTTGCCTTTACTTCTCCTTCACATCTCCTATTCAGGATTCAAGGACTTTCTTTTCCCCCCTAGAGATAAGAGTTATGATATTTGGGAGTCTTTTAGATAGACCATCTGAAGGGGTACTCCAATTGCCTCACCCTGCTTCCCTGTTCAGCATGGAAGAAGTCAGAGCTGTTTGCATCCTGATTCCCTAGTGACAATTTTGGTAACCTCTTCAGAGGATGGTGTGATAAGAATAGAAGGTAGGAATTGGCTAGGCAGTTATGGTAAAAAGACCCCAATGAAAAGTAACTGGTTTATTGGCTAAAACTCACAATGTCCTTGGGCTTCTTAGCAATGTACTCCATTCCAAAGGCCAAAAATTTGGAAAGTATTTGGGAGCTTGTATCTAATCCCTAAAAAAATTTAGGGTTATCTCTTCAGAGGGTGGAATGTTAGCATAGCCAAAAGCCCCACAAAAATAAAAAAGCAAAGAAGGTGAAAGAGTATGTGAAGTGAACAGAAAAAAAACGATGGGGACATATGGGAGGAGTTGGAGGGGAGGTAGTGGTCATGGATTTGATAAAAACATCTTATATGTATGCATGAAATTCTCAATAAATTATTTATTCACCTTTAATCCCAACACTTGGGAGGCAGGCCAGGCAGACCTCTGTGAGTTCAAGGCCAGCTTGGTCCACATAGTTCCAGGACAGCCGGGATTGCAGGGAGATCCTGTCTCAAAAAAAACTGTTTAAATAGAGGCACCCTCTTATATGGATAATACTTCTTGTAGAATCATTGGTTATTTATTTATTGTTTTTTCTTTGAGTATTTAATACATACATATAGTGCATTTTGATCATACCCACCTCTCTTCTTTCCCACACTTCTCCTCCAAACTTCATGTCTTCTTATTTTTGTTTATTATTTTAGGGTCTTTTTGAGACAGGATATACCTGTAGCCCCAGGTGGCCTAGAAGTCACTAGACCAGGCTGGCCTCAATCTGACAGATATCCACCTGTCTCTGCCACTCAAGTGCTGGGACTAAAGATGTGCAACACAGTGCCATGGCATTTTCTTCTTATTTTCATACATAGCTTACAGTCTAATTAGTGCTGCTTGTATGTATATCTGTATGGGGCCATCAGTAGGAGCATGGGAAAATACAAGAGTCCATATCCATGAAGAAAACTAACTCTTTTTTCATAAATAGCCACCAACGCTTGCCAATAGCTTTTCAGTGAGAGGTATAACTTCACCAGCCCCTCCCTCATCCATACTGTGATGTTGACTGACTTGATCTTGTACAGGCAACTATACCTGTGGTGTGTTCATGGTTGCAATGGACCAATTCTCAACAGTTTTACGGCTCTCTTAATAATTCTTCTTATTCTTCCATCATTGTTCCTTGACCCTTGGAAAGGGTGTGATATAGGCATCTCATTTATCCCATAGTTTATAAAATGAAAATCCCAACGCCAGGCCTAGGAAACTTATTATGGAGTTACTTGTTAGGAAGATGTCAAGGTTCATGAAACCATATAGGGTATTGCCATTTCTGTTGGTTGTCTAGCAGGACTAGACAATAAGAGCCTGTTGCTGAAAATATCACTTATTTTTATTTCAAGGGTTACAGAAATCAAGTTCCAACTGAGCTGGAGGTTTCATTCCTGATGACTAAAATTCACAGTGCAAGAAGGTGCTAATATACTTCTGCAGAAGAAAAGTCATCAGTGATCATACCCATCTGTGGACATTAATTACATGAGTTATATTAATGACATGCCTGGTAAAATAAACCTACCAGTGCAACACTGGAATGACTATTGTGAGGGTAACAAATTACTTTCTGATTGAATATGAGACCTGTTCCACAGGAGATAATTTGGGAGTTGTACTATGAAGCTGGCTGAGTTCACAGCTTGGAAAGTCATAGGCCCTAAGAGGAACTTAACACTGTTACATTGCTAAGAGCACATGGTGTCAAACTGCCTTCTAATACTTAGGCTTATCCCCATAGATTAGTTCAGCTCTTAGCCTGCAGAAGAGAAGCTCCTTTTAGTGGGAAGTGGTTAATGATGAAGCTCAAAACTTAAAGGTCCCAAGAATAAGTGACTTCTGAGTGCTTATCCCTAAACAAGTTTCTGTATCATTTATGCCAAAGCTTGGGGAACACTATGAAAGAGAGGGTAGCCAGAATGTAAGAACCAGAGTTTGGGAAGGAGGGTTTTGAAGCAATGCCTATGAATATTACACAGACGTTTTATTCATCAGCTCTACATCCCGTGGTTAACTTGTGCAAGATTTGCCCAAGGTTTACCCCTCACCATATCATCCATGCATGGCAGAGGAGCTCCTGAGGCCCCACTCATCACTGCAGATCTATGGACAGTTAATGCAGACTTATGGAAGTGGGTGTCATTTTCTTCTGGGGTGAAGGAACTTAGAAGTTGCCCATGTGCCAGTAAATAATGTCCCAGTCATGTAAGCCATCAAAATTAACCAAATTAAATGCTTGTACAATGATATCAAGGAACAATAGAACTAGTTAATAAGAAGGGTTTCATCTGAGGAGAGAAGGGGATTAGAGACTGCAATGGGGGGTAAAAAGACTGAATTTATGAATATATGTATATGAAATTGTCAAAGAATAAAATATCCACCAGATTTGGAAAGAAGTTTAATTGTCCTGGTGTATAACTAGATATTTTATATGTGAAACACAAATATATTTTAACTAATAACCCTGGGAAAATTAGATATAAGATTTTCACATTTCAGTCTTTTATCTACAGAATAAAATTGAAACCCCTGAAAAAGCAATCAGGAAAGCAATTCAACATTCAATAACTAGATGGATGTGATTACAGCCCATTGTATACATGTATGAACTTATCAAGAATGAAGAAAATTATATGTGTAAGGAAGTATTATTGACATTCATGTTCTACGACATCCATTCACCCAGCACCTCAGGACCTATGTGGAGTTCACTTATCAGACTGAGGACCAGGCCAGGAGTTCACTTCCCATGTTAGAGGCCACACTGCCTCCCTGTGGAACTCCACATCTACAGACATCAGTGTAGCTCATTTCCAAAGTCTCATGTAACAAGCACTGTTTGCTTCCCTAGTCAAGGCCATATAACCTGCCCTCTAGCACTCTAACCTTCCTTATCTCAGCAACTGAACATATCTTGTTATTCAATTTGGAGATCACATCACCCATCTTCTTGCACCCTCACCACTATTATCTCAGGATTTGCATATAGTATACTTTCCAAGTCAGAGGCTAGACTTCTATTTTACCCCAGGTCTGCAAGTTTACCATCATAGGACCTGTGAGGAGAACTCTGTGTCACAGTTCACACCCAAATCATCCTTCCACACCTCTGCTGCCTCAAGACCCACTTGATAAATCTCTCTCTTCTTTGGTGACAGGCCACCACCTCTAACTCCAAATCTTAGCACCTTAGTACCTACTTTGAGCATCAATCTTCTTTTAGAGTAAGAACGTATACCCCATCAACACTGGCATCCATGTTTCTCTCTGCTAACTCATGCAGAGCATCCTTTCATGAGATCAAGAGTCGCACATTCTCCAGCTAATATGGGCCAATCTCAGCTACCCTGCCCAAGAGTCATAACTGACTGACCTTGAGACTGAACTTGAAGCATCACCTAGCTGATAAAAACCAGTTAAACTGGGGTAATATCGAATAGAGACTCAAATGACCACCCAACACTGATAGACCTGAAACTCATTGCAAAAGCCACAACTGAAGAAAGATGTACAGGCCTGATGTAAAAGTTCAGGCAATCAAAACAATCAAGCAAACAATCAACGAAACAGAGAAGATAAAATGTCCCTCCAAAGATTACAATTGAGGCAAAAAATTTAAAAGTACAATCATAAATACTTTCAAAGAATTCATAGAAGACATCAATCAATTTGAATAAGATTAAACATTAAGAAAGCTTTATAATTATAATGCCTTATGTGTCTCCAGAATATGTGATGTGTTTCAAACTCAAAGGAAAATTTTGAGGAGTCAGTTCTCTTCTTTCACTATTGATGTTTGGAGGATTGAACTCAGGTTGTCAGGCTTGGTGACAAATGGCCTTAATTTGTTGGGTCATCTTGATGGCCCTAAATTTTAAACCAAAAGAGAGGTCTAAAAAACTGTACAAAACTGAAAATATTGAGGACTACCTCTGAAGAAAGATTTTGCAAGGGTACTCATGGCAGTGTCTAGAGAGGAATAAATACAAACATATAAAAAGTAAAACAGTATTTTGGGAACAGGAAATGAAGTAGCATTCAGTTTGGAGTAGATCATAAATAGCACATTGATTCTGAAACATTTGTTTCAGAAGCTGCAATGCCCACTTTGTTCTTTGGTCATTGACCCATCAAGGACAAGAGACTGCTCTGCTGAGACTTCCCAGAGCTCTCTTTACATCCTTGTTCCTCAGGCTATAGATGAAAGGGTTCAGCATGGGCGTGACCACAGTATACATCACTGAGGCAATGGTGTTTCCCTGGGAAGAATGGGTTAAAGCAGAGCTGAGGTAAACACTAAGTGCTGTTCCATAGAATAAGCAGACCACACAGAGATGAGACGCACAAGTAGAAAATGCTTTGTACTTGCTTTCTATGGAAGACATTCTTAATAGGGTGGAGACAATCTGAGAGTAAGAGAAGACGATGCCAGAGACAGGGAGCACACACAACAGGGCAGTAGCCACATATGACAAGATATTATTGATGAGAGTATCAGAGCTGGCCACCTTTAAAACCTGAGCTAATTCACAGAAGAAATGGGGAATTTCAGTCTGTATGGAGAAAGTCAATCGCTTCATCACTAGAATATGCAGAAGGGAGACCAAGATCATGATGATCCAGGACATCAGAACCAGGAGGCCACAGAAGTATGGGCTCATGATGACTGTGTAATTCAAGGGGTGACAAATGGCCACAAAGCGATCAAAAGCCATCACAGTCAGTAGGAAATTGTCCATTCCAGCAAAAATTATAAAAAAATATACCTGAGTGAGGCATTGGATGTAGGAGATACGTTTGTTCTGTGCCTGAATGTTCACAAGCATTTTTGGGATGGTGGTAGATGTAAAACAGATGTCCACAAAGGACAGGTTGGAAAGAAAGAAGTACATGGGGGTGTGGAGATGGGAGTCAGAGCTGGTTGCCAGGATGATGAGCAGGTTCCCAAGCACTGTGACCAGATACATGGACAAAAACATCCAGAAGAGGAGGGGCTGTAACTGAGGGTTGTCTGAAAGACCCAGCAGGAGGAACTGTGATACTTCTGTGTGGTTTTCTCCTTCCATGCCAGAGACTTTTCTCCTTGACAAGTAAGCTAAAGTTCAGAAAACAATGTAAACCTTAAGTAGTCATCACTTCACACTTTCACTTTGAATAGATGTTCTTCATCCTCCATGATTCCTTTCTATGACCATGATTTACTGAGCCAAGAGCTATCTCATTTCACTTTTAAATGTTTACAGGTTTTCAAACTTTTATTAAATTTAGCAGAATCCTTTGTCATTTTACCTCTACTCACTTATTTACATTCTCTCTAAATTTGTAAACATAGACTGATGCTGTTATGCCCATTTCAAAATGTTCACAATATATTTCATGTATTCCTTGACAATTTTATACTTCTTTATTTCTAAATCTCCATAACAGTTCTAAAATATGGATTTACAAGCTAGTCCTTCATTTCTTATATTGGCACTTCTTGGTGATATAATAGATAACTATCAAAATGTATTTACCTTATAACTTTTAGTACCATTAGTTTGCTATGGACTTAAAACGCTTTTGCACATTCGACATATCAGAAGATGATGTCTCCTATTATTAACATCTACTAATGTCTATTATTATTATTATTATTATTATTGGTCTTTTAGAGACAGGGTCTCCCTCTAGCCCCAGCTGGCATGGAACTCTCTGTGTAGACCAGGCTGGCCTTGAACTCACAGAAATCCTCCTGCTTCTACCTCCCAATTGCTGGGTTTAAAGGCATGTGCCACCATGCCCGGCATGTTTATTATTATTATTATTATTATTATTATTATCATTATATTTTTGATAGATGTTTTGGATATACAACTCATTCAAATGTCAGAATAGAATTTGGTTTAGATACTGAATTCACAACTCAAACTTCTAGGGAAAATTTTGGTCTACCAACTTACTGTTTGTGTGATTCTGAGATAGTTACTTAAACTCTCTTAGCTACAAATATTTTTCCCTCTACACTAGGAACAATAAATATTTACTACATAATAAGATTGAAAAGAGAAATTTAAAAAGTACAATTAAGTATTCTACTGTGGTTACTGTGGCATACAATTGGTCTTTCATAAATGTGAACTTTTATTTTGACCTAACACTAATGCTGTCTTTCACCACCATCATTTAGTAGTGTCTCTTTAAGCTTGGTTATCCATTACAACTAGAATTCTGTTTTTGACTGACAGCTTTTTTTAAAATTTGTGAACTTATGCTTCCTTTAGTCATAGAATGCTATTTGCTTTTGCAAGATACGTAAAAAGAATGTAGGCTGCACATCAGGAAGACAAAATGACCTGCCATTGAAATGAAATGAAAATAAAAATGAAATGATGTGCACATATGAGAGCGTGTCCTCATGTAGTCATGCTCCTGAAAGGCAGCATTTTATTAAAATCATCAGAGTTAATGACTAAAATATGTGCTTTATTAAAACATTTAAAGCTTTATAAATCAATATTGAAATATTGTCAGGCCTAGGAACATTGGATAGGTAGGAGAACCTAATACTATCAGTCTGCTAAATAGACACTGTATGAAATGGACTCCTAATGGCTTATTGTTATACCCATATTAATCCACCTCTCAACTCTCACCAGAGAAGCTTCCTCACACAGCACATGGTGATTAACACAGAGACCTACAACTGGCCAACATACAGAGAATGAGACTGCAGAGTACTTATCCCTCAGTAAGACACCTATATCCAATCTCTGCCAGGTAAGTCTCATAGATCATTGCAGATGGTATGTAAAAACTGTAAGAGCCAGGGGCGGTGGATAACCACAAAGAAGCAGTTTTACAACATCTGGGAATTTACTCAAATGCACTCACAGCAATGGTGACAGTATGCACAAATGCCACATAAGCTCAAGCCTAACAACATTCCAGCATGGAACCTGTGAAGTGGGTAAGAAATCCCAACCCTAGTTGAGGGACTATTGTCAACTGATAGCCCCTAGGAGAGGGACAGTCAGTTTTGTTTAAGCGTATGATGTTGGATAAGTTAACTAGGCTCCAATGGATGGACCCACACTGAGTGACCTTTTGGGACACTAAACTCAATGTGCTTTAAAGCATATAAGGGAGAACATCAAATTGAGTGAAGAGTGTTAAGGGCAGGGTGTCTAAATATAATCAAATATATTATCTGAAATATTCAAAAATTCAGTAAAAAAGGAGAAAAGGAAAAAATAAATGCTATTATTGAAAGTAAAAGTTATTTTTCAAGATAAATGTCAGAATTTTGAATATCTATAAGTAATAAAACTATTTAAGTCAGAAAGATATATTGAATATTTATTGTGGGAAAGTAGGTTAGAAAGTCTTCTCTGAAATGCGGATATTCTATCTGAGAGAATACTGGTGAATTACTGTTAATCATGGAAGGAAGAAAATTTGCAGCAGAGTGGAGGTTTGCTCTATCAGAGAAGGAACTGATTTAGGAGAGGTTTTGAAAGGTGACTTATAGAAAGCAGATGTGGCTGTCAGGAAGAACACATTATGTGCTGGTAAAATAACGACATTTCTTTAGTCTTTCTAATACCCTTCTCACTTAGGTAAATTCAAGTTCATCTGCCAATCCAAGGTTATAACATTTTTAAAAACTCATCATTTGCTGTTCTAAGATTTAGATGGGTACTGCAATGTTGTAAGTGCCAAATTAATATACATTTTAGATAATAAAGTCTGTACCCACTTATATGCAAGAAGTAGAATTCAATGCTATCATATCCCTAAATTTAAATATGAAGTTTAATAGCATATTTAAAGAATTTAAATTCATTCTAAATTTAAAAGAGTAACTTGATGAAAAGTTAATACCGAGAATAGAAATTGAAGCCCGGTTATCATAAGTAGGTTGGTTGCCACAATTCATCACAGCAGTATGTCATAGACACATTTACAATAAAAAATTGTAATTGAAAAAAATTATCAGCCATTTGTGTTGTTAGTTGTTAAGGTTAAGTATATCAGTGAACAAAAAAGCAAGAAAAATGTCCTAATGCAATAAGTAATGACAATCTTTCAAAACACAGGCCACAGGACACTAAAACACTGACATATATGGGACAAATTCATTAGCATGTTAATTCAGTGTCCTTCAACTTCAATCATATTTTATGAATACTTAAAACAATTGTATGTTTTTTAAATAAAGGGGTTTGATTGTTCATATGAAAACAGTATTTTCACTGAGTGGTGAGCTTCATATATAATTATATAATTAGTAAATGCTGCTTATAACATTAAGGTGAAGCAATAATTACAACATGAAAGTACTTAGGATGATAATTCAAGTAATACAATGTAATACTTAGTGATGTAATAAAAAGTAAAATGCAACAAAATAGATAAGACCTGGGGCATAATAGATTTTTGGTGAGCAAAATGAATAAATACTTGGATGCAGAAAATCTAGAATAAAAATACAATTGATAGGAAAACTGAAGAAAAGTTACTCTACAGAAAATTACTTTTCTTGATGTGAGGTTCCAGCATCTAAAGAGTGAGAGAAAGAAAAAGAGTGAGAACCCAGATAGAAAGGAATCTGTGAAAATTAAAGTTACTTCAAAGTGCAGACAATGCACCTCCAGAGACCAAGGGTCTCTGCCATGTTGTTATTTTTCTAGAGGTAAAGCCCAACACTCATTTTCTTCTACTAGTGCTATAGTATTTTTACCTTTAAATCCACCTGCCTTGCTCAGGACATAGACTCTCTCAGACAGCTGCTGCTGAAGCTTTCTCTTTTCTACAAACTGTTCCTAGGAGGCCACTTGGGTTATTATGGGAATCATATAACTACAGGAAGGAACAGCAAGGACATGTTTAAAATTTCTATCATTAAATCATTCAATTGTCAGAGCTACTCATTAAACAAATTATTCTATTTCCTTTTTAGGTTCCAACCTGTTTCGTTCTCTTGAGACAAGAAGATAGCAGTAGGAAAAATTTCAGTAAATTTTGCATACATGAACGTATCAACAAGCAACTTATTTTTTCCAATGGGAACTTTATTTTATTTCAAAAGTTATGTGGAGTCCTCTAAGGAAATACTATTTTTTTCTTTTTATAAAAGATACTTAATTATTATTTTTATGTGTATGAGTGTATTAACTGAATGTGTTTAAATTCACCTATGTCATATAAAGCCCATGGAAGACAGAAGAGAGTGTCAGATTACCCTGGAACTGGAGTTACAGATGGTTGTTAGCCACCATGTAGGTGACTGAAATCAAACTAGGGTCCTTGAAAGAGTGATCAGTGCTTTAAATCACTAAACCATCTCTTCTGTCCCTAGGAAATATTAATTTATATGACGGGTGAATTCCAGGGATTCTTTCTTTTTGACATTTTCCTTAAATTTGAAGAATGAATAGTTTATTTATTGTCCACAGCATTATGGAAAAATAGAAGTCCTTTTCATCATTTTTATTTTTCATATTAATGTAACTTTGACATAGATAAAAATTATGTGTTTATGTAAACATTATGTTAAGAGCACTACATATTATGAAATGATTAAATATCATTATCTCATATAGTAATTATTTTTGTGGGAAATTTGAAGAATGAATAGTTTATTTATTGTCCACAGCATTATGGAAAAATAGAAGTCCTTTTCATCATTTTTATTTTTCATATTAATGTAACTTTGACATAGATAAAAATTATGTGTTTATGTAAACATTATGTTAAGAGCACTACATATTATGAAATGATTAAATATCATTATCTCATATAGTAATTATTTTTGTGGGAAGACACTTCCTATCGACATAATTTTTTAGGATGCTTACCACCTTGTACAATGACTCTCTTGAACTTTATGTTATTATATAATTGGAATTCTGATCATCATTTCTCTCATTTCATCCACAAATACTGTAGTCTTTGCTAACACCAGGATTCTGTATTTTGATGAGGTCAACTTAGTCAGACTGTGACCTGGTTGATCATTTCCTGAATTTGGTTTTACAAGATTTTTATTTTATTTTTTTAGAAATCATGAAAACATGAGACAGGACAATTTGCATTGTATGAA